GAGGGAGCACTCTCCCTGGCTGAGTGGTTCCTCTTCAGCTCCCTCGTGCCGCGTACTGATGCCAGAGCCGGAAGATGATGTCATCTTCCGGCTCCGGCATCAGTGCGGTGCGTGAGGGAGCTGAAGAGGAAGCACTCAGGGGAGAGTGCTCCCTCGCGCGCGCGCCGGGTGACACCAGGGCCATCCTCGGGGGGCCCTGAGGTGACTGGCTGCTGGGCCCCCCCCCAGGAGAAGAGACTGGCCACAATGGGTACATACCGGGTCGCAGGGCCCCCTGCAACCCCGGTATGTACGCCACTGAATGTGGGGCCCAGGATGACCTGAGCAGTCCGGGCCCCCCAGGACTGCCAGGCCCATGACAACCGTGATGGTTGTCATGGCCTGATGGCGGCTCTGTATACACGTATATTAATGCAATCCAATTCCCTCACATCTCATCCGTACTCTGTCTTCTTCTCTTTCTCCACCTCTCACTAAAATCCTCAATCTCTCTCTCTCCTCTGGAATATTTCCATTGCCCTTCAAACATGCAACTGTTACCCCAATTCTAAAGAAGCCCAATCTTGACCCTAACTCCCCATCCAACTATCGTCCTATCTCGTTACTGCCTTTTGCATCCAAGATCCTTGAAAAAATTGTGTATGCAAGATTGACAGACTTCCTCGAGTCCAGCTCTCTGCTACACCCGCTTTAGTCTGGTTTCCGCGTTAAGCACTCTGTGGAAACGGCACTGACCAAAGTATCCAATGATCTTCTCGCTGCAAAATCTCATGGTCACTACTCTATCCTAATTCTCCTTGACCTGTCTGCAGCTTTTGACACTGTTGATCATCAACAGCTTCTTCTCATCCTCCGCAATATCGGTCTACAAGATATTGCTCTCTCCTGGTGCTCCTCCTACCTCTCCCAGCGCTCTTTCAGTGTTTCTTTCTCTGGCTCTGCTTCTTCTCCCCAACTCCTCTCTGTTGGTGTCCCCCAAGGTTCAGTCCTTGGTCCCCTACTGTTCTCCATCTATACTGCCTCCCTTGGTAAACTCATTAGCTCCTTTGGCTTCCAATATCATTTCTATGCAGATGACACGCAAATCTACCTGTCCTCTCCTGATCTCTCCCCGTCCCTCTTGACTAGTATCTCTGACTGCATCTCTGCTGTTTCCAACTGGATGGCTGCCCACTTCCTTAAACTAAACTTGACCAAAACTGAAATTCTGGTCTTTCCTCCCTCAAGTGTTTTACTCCTGTGTCTGTCTCCCTCCAAGTCAACGGTGCTACCATCAGCTCCACCACGCAGGCTCGCTGCCTAGGTGTTCTCTTTGACTCCGACCTCTCCTTCAAGCCTCATGTTCAATCTATCGCCAAATCCTGTCATTTCCATCTAAAAAACATTGCGCGCATCCGCCACTACTTAACGCCAGATGCGACTAAGGTGTTGGTCCATTCCACTGTCCTTTCTCGCCTTGACTACTGTAATCCGTTTCTCAGTGGTCTTACGTGCTCCCAACTAGTGCCGTTACAGTCCATAATGAATGCAGCGGCAAGGCTCATCTTCCTGTCCACCCGCACCTCCCATGCCTCACCCTTCTGTCAATCCCTACACTGGCTTCCTATAAAATATAGCGCTCAATTTAAAATTCTGGTTCTTGCATTCAAATCGCTACATAATGCTGCTCCCACCTATCTATCCTCCCTTATACACAAGTATGTCCCGTCTAGGCCCTTACGATCTGCTGAAGACTTACGTCTATCTTCTGTCCGTACTCCCACCTCTGATGCTCGCCTTCAAGATTTCTCGAGGGCTGCACCGTTCCTGTGGAACTCGCTTCCCTCCTCCGTTAGATGCTCACCCAGTCTCCACTCCTTCAAAAAATCGTTAAAAACCCACTTCTTCATAAAAGCGTATCAATTAAACTGTTCATAGCTCCTGACTGATTCCTCTTCTGCAACTGTCATTAGTCTAATACTATCCTTACCTTTTGTGTCATTTTACCCCACTCCCTCTAGCATGTAAGCTCATTGAGCAGGGCCCTCAACCCCTCTGTTCCTGTGTGTCCAACTTGTCTGGTTACAACTACATGTCTGTTCGTCCACCCATTGTAAAGCACTGCAGAATTTGACGGCGCTGTATAAATATCATAATAATAATAATAATTTGTTTTATATTAATATTTGTGTATAAATTATAAGCATAACACTCATACAAATCGTGCTTATAGTATATATTTATGTAAATACTAATATAATACATATATATTATTATATATGCATAATACCTTCAGATATCCCGTAAACTAAGTAAAACCTTCACACTGACCCATATACACATTGACACCAGCACAGACACTCATAAAGTGACCCATACACACACCTACACATGCTGACCCATACATACATTGACAAAAACACAGACACACACACTGGTCCATACACACATACACATTTAAAGAACCAACACACACAGACACACAGACACACTACACGAACCCATAAACAACCACAGACCCATAAACTAACACAGACACACACACACATACACTGAACCATAAACAAATACAGACACTGACACCTGTACACTGGCCCATAAACACAGACACATCGACACATACATAACAGGGATGTGCATGGGGAAAATATTCAGTTCGATTCGGCATTCCGAAACTTCTGCACTTCGGTCCTTCTGCACTTCGACACTTCGGATGTTCTCCTGCAGCAGCTTAGTAGATAACTCCCTAATTCCCACGGTATTAGGGAGCTATCTACCAAAAGGCTGAAAGACCTAAATTGGTCTTTCAGCCAAATTTTCTAATACTAAGTAAAAATTACTTTGAAGTATTTTAGGGTCCCCACCCAACACTCATGGGTGGGGGCCGGGGGGAGGACAATAGGTCAGAACCCTAAAGTAAAATAAAAGGGTGAACCTATTGCCCTCCCCCAGACCCCCCCTTTTATTTTACTTTAGGGCCCCCACCCACTGCTCAGGGGTGAGGGCTGGGGGGGAGGACAATAGGTCCCCCCCCTTATTTTACTTTAGGGCCCCCAACTGCTGCTCAGGGGTGGGGGCCGGGGGGGAGGACAATTGGTCCCCCGCCTTTGAAGTATTTTAGGACCCCCACCCACCGCTCAGGCGTGGAGGCCGGGGGGGCAATAGGTCCCCCTTTAGTTTAATAGCCCTCACTCGCGCGTCACAATTTTTACTTAGTTTTAGTAAATTTGTTTGAAAGACCAATTTAGGTCTTTCAGCTTTTTGGTAGATAGCTCCCTAATACCGTGGGAATTAGGGAGTTATCTACTTACTCATACCCATCCATTGACTGTAATGGAAGTAACTTACATTTTATATGAACGTGTTACTTGATTGT